TTTTTTTTTTTCCCTAGGGCTTTCAAGTGAGCCGTTAAGTTGCTTGTATGAGATGTTTGGATTTCTATGTGAAGGCATTTAACGCTATGAACTTTCCTCTTAGCACTGCTTTCATCGTGTCCCATGAGTTTGGGTATATTGTTCCTTCATTTTCATTGAATTCTAGGAAGCCTTTAATTTATTTCTTTTTTTCCCTCTGACCCAGCGTCATTGAGTAGAGAGTTGTTCTGTTTCCATCGGTGTGTATGCTTTTTGCTCTTTCTGTTATTGGAGTCCAGCTTTTTTTCCACGGTGTTCTGATAAGATACAGGGGATTATTTCAATCTTCTTGCACCTGTTCAGGTTTGCTTTGTGACTAAATTTACAGTCTATTTTGGAGAAGATTCCATGAGGTGCTGAGAAGAAGTTAAATTCTTTTGTGTTTGTGTGAAAAGTTCTATTAGTTCTGTTAGGTCCTCTTGACTCATGACATCTCTTAGTGTTATTGTTTCTTTGTTTAGTTTCTGGGTTTTGTTGTTTTTTGGTTTTGTTTTGTTTTGTTTTGATTTTGTTTTTTACCAGTCCCTTGATGAGAGTGGGGTGTAGAAGTCTTCCACTATTAATGTTTGGGAATCTGTGTGTGGTTTAAGTGTTACCAGTGTTTCTTTTACATATGTTGGTGCCCTTGAATTTGGGGCATAGATGTTCAGAATTGAGATGTATTCTTGGTAGAATTCTCCTTTGATGAGTATGAAGTGACCTTTCCATATCTTTTGATTAATTTTGGAAAGACTATTTCATTAGGTATTATTATGGCTACTATTGCTTGCTTCTTGGCTGCATTTGCTTGGAAATCATCTTCCAGCCTTTTATTCTCAGGTAATGTCTATCTTTATGACTGAGGTATGTTTCTTTCATTCAACAGATTTTTAGGTCTTATTTATACATCCATTTTGTGAGTCTGTGTCTTTTTAGTGGAGAGTTGAGTCCATTGATGTTGAGAGAGATTAATGACCAGTAACTGTTAGATCCTCTTATTTTGATGGTCATTGTGGTAGTGTGTTTATGTGCTTTGCTCCTTTAGTTTTGCTGTAGTGAGGTTATTTATTTCCTGTTTTTTCCTGGGTGTTGTTAGCTTTCTTGGGTTGTATTTTTACTTCTAGCATATTCTGTAAGGATGGATTTGTGGATAGGTACTGTTTGAATTTGTTTTTGTCATTGAATATCTTGTTTTCTCCATCTATGATATTTGAGAGTTTTGCTGGGTATAGTAGCCTGAGCTGACATCTGTGTTTTCTTTGGGTCTGCATGATATCTGCCCAGGCCCTTCCAGATTTCATAGTCTCTGTTAAGAAGTCATGTGTGGTTCCAATGGTTTTGCCATTATATGTTATTGGCCTTTTTCTCTTGCAGTTTTCAGTATTTTTCCTTAATTCTGTATACTTACTGTTTTGATTATTATGTGGAAGGAGGATTTTCTTTTCTGGTATAATCTATTAGGTGTTCTGTTATTCTCTTGTATGCTTATAGGCCTCTCCTTTAAATTGGAGAAATTTTCTTCTATGATTTTGCTGAAAATATTTTCTGGGCCTTGGAGACAGGACTCTTCTTTTTCCTCTATTTCTATTATTCTTGGGTTTCATCTTTTCATGTTGTCGTTGATTTCTTGGATGGTTTGTTTCAGGAAATTTTTAGATTTGACATTTTCTTTTACAGATACACTGACTACTCCCATTGTATCTTCCATACCTGAAATTCTTTCTTCCATCTCCTGTAGTCTGTTGGATATGCTTACCTCTGTAGTTCCTGTTTTCTTCCCTAAGTTTTCCCTCTCCATGATTTTCTCAGTTTCTGTTTTCTTTAATTTTTCTATTTCCATCTTCAGATCTTGAACCATTTTGTTGATTTCCTTCACCTGTCTGTATTGTCCTGCTTTTCCTTCAATTTCATCACCTGTTTATTAGGATTTCCTTTATTTCTTTCATTCATTTAATTATTTCTTCTCTAAAGGCCACAAATGTTTGGCTGTATCTTGTATTTCTTTATGATTTTATTTGTTTCCTCTGTTATCTTCTTTGTAAGCATAGATTTAAAGTCATCTTCTTGAATTTCACTTACGTTAAGCTATCCAGGGCTACTTGCCTCTGGATAACTGGGTTCTGGAAATCCCATATTGCCTTGGCTGTTGCTGATTTTGCTTTTACACTGGCCTCTGTCCGCTGTCTCAGTTGTTGGCTGTTAGTTTCTGGTGCCTGCTGGAGTCCTGGGGGAGGGGTAATCTTCTTGGTAGGAAGATAGTTGTTTCTGAATGATCCCTTCTCAGCTTTTTGGGTCTGGTCACCAAATGGCCAGTGCTTTTAGGGAATTGCCACAGTTCTCCTCAGGTGTATGGTTCTGTGGGCTAACTGGGCTTGTTGGGAGCCCATGTGCTCTCCTCTGACCAGGAGAAGTTCTGGAGATAGTTGCCCTTCCACTGGCTTTCTTGATCTGAATTTATTGAGCTGCTGCTCCTCATATACTGTATTTGCTTGACACAGTCCTCTTGAAGAACTAGAGAGCCTTGTAGTTTGGTCGGTTTAGCTAGGTTTAGTTGAGCTTTGGAGCAGGATCTGGAGCTGATCCTGTGGGTTCCAGGTGTTCTTATGTCTGAGGTTGGAGCTCTGTGCCCCAGTACCTGAGAGGTAATCAGTGGTCTGTAAAGGTAGCACACAGGTGTGTGGCTAGAGGCTAGAGCCCCCTAGCCTGAGAGAACCCAGGAACTTTTCTGGGGATTAGCTGAGTGCCCTGAGATCAGACTTGATGTTTCCCTTGCCATGGAGTTTTCTCCCAACAGGGAGACCCAGTCTGTGGTTTGGGGGTCCAAACTTCAGTCTGAGATGATGAGTAGAGATCACAGGTGCAGGCATTTAGCTCTGCACTGGCTACTGAGCACCTACTAGAGCTGGGGAACTTTTTACAGGGGGTTTGCTGGGTGACCTGAGGTCAGGAGGACCCAATTGCTTCCTTCACCATGGGGTTTACTTTCAACTGGAAAACCCAATCTCTGGTGTTTGGGGGCTCAAAGATAAATCTGGGACTGTGATCAGAGCACATAGTCAAGTGGCTCTGGGCTGGCAACCCAGTGCCTGAAGGGAACCCAGGAACTCTTCTGAGGTTTAGCTGGGTGATCTGAAATTGGACCAGATTACTTCCCACACCATGAGATTCCTTTCCATCTGTGGAACACAATCACTGTTGTTTTGAGACCCACACTTTGGTCTGTTGGTCACTGTGCTGTTACTTTTGCCCTGCTCATCAGACAAAGTGTGCTCTTTGCGCTGCCATCTTGTGTCTCCAGTTTTCAGTATTTTTATTGTTTTGTCTTCTCAAGCATCATAAGCATGAGATCATTGCCTCCCTGACAAGGATACAAACATGCTTCCTAATATTGAAAAATCACTGTATTGTATTTTTCCTAATTTTAAATTCCTTTATACCTTCGGCATTATAAGATTTTATGTAATTAGGTTCTGGATTACCTATTGAATTATAAAAGAAAGCTTAAAATATAACAATTTTTGAATTAAGTACAACTAAAAATTATTTAATTAGAACATGCAATTTATGACTTACTTTTGGTAAGTATTTAAATGGTCAGAACTACTGATTAAATAAAATCAAAATTCAATAAAAAATTCTTAATGTACAAATTAAAAATAATATATTACTAGTTAAAATTACAAATTCTACATCTAATTATTTTGTGAAAGACTTGTTGGGGCTTCCAAATTTGTTTCCAATTTTTTTTTTTGATTTGTAGTAGTCATCATTGTAGGTCACCATTTTTTGACATGTATATATATATTTTAGGAATGTTGTCCTCAAATTCATCATCATCATGTCATCCAACAACCCCAGATTATCCACTCTCCACATTGTCAACAGTCCTGGTCTAGTCATCAAATCCAATGCGCAGCAGAAAATGATTCAAATATTGGGCATGACATCTGCCATGGTGGGCCAAGCCAAGTACATGAACAGGTAAGATCAATCAGCTGAATACTTGTCAAATTAAATAAGTTCTTGAGCATGTCTTACAGCAATATTCTAGCACTCACATTAAAATTTCATCCAAATATTAAAGAATTATGCCAGTGGTATTTGTGTTTTTACAACATTTTAAAAACAATTATCTAAGACTCCTCTCAAAAGACAAAATCATTCAGGTTCATTAATTAAATATACAAAGTTATGACTTGATTCATGCATATTTAATTGGAACTGATAAGTGATCCTTAGAAATTAGCCCAACAGTTGTTTAGCATTACACATTTTCATGAGATAATATGCAAATGAACAATGAATTAGAAATGCTGTCATTTGAGATGATTGTTAATGATATCATTTCACAAGCTGGTAATTAGTTGCTGTATATATACTAAGTGGATCAAAGACCTCAACATAAAACCAGACACATTAAATCGGTTAGAAGAAAAAGTGGGGAACAGCCTAGAACTCATTGGTACAGGAGACAACTTCCTGAACAGAACACCAACAGCACAGGCTCTAAGAGCAACAATCAATAAATGGGACCTCATGAAACTGAAAAGCTTCTGAAAAGCAAAGGACACCATTATCAAAACAAAGAGACTGCCTACAGATTGGGAAAGAATCTTCACCAACCCTTTATCTGACAGAGCGCTAATATCCAGTATATATAAAGAACTAAACAAGCTGAAAAGCAGCAAACCAAGTAATCCAATTAAAAAATGGGGAACAGAGCTAAACAGAGAATTCTCTGTAGAGGAATATTGAATGGCAGAGAAACACTTAAAGAAATGCTAAATGGCATTAGCCATTAGGGAAATGCAAATCAAAATGACCCTGAGATTTCACCTTACACCCATCAGAATGGTCAAGATGAAAAACTCAAGGGACAGCGCATGCTGGAGAGGTTGTGGAGAACCCTTCTCCACTGCTGGTGGGAATGTAAACTTGTACAACCACTCTGGAAATCAATCTGGTGCTTTCTCAGACAACTAGAAATAGCACTTCCTCAAAATCCAGCCATACCACTCCTAGGCATATATCCAAAAGAGGCTCAAGTATACAATAAGGACATTTGCTCAACCATGTTTGTAGCAGCTTTATTTGTAATAGCCAGAAGCTGGAAACAGCCCAGATGCCCCTCAATTGAAGAATGGATGCAGAAACTGTGCTACATCTACACAATGGAATATTACTCAGCAATGAAAAATAAGGAAATCATGAAATTTGCAGGTAAGTTGTGGGACCTGGAAAGAATCATCCTGAGTGAGCTGTCCCAGAAGCAGAAAAACACACACGGTATATACTCACTCAATAGACATATAACATAGGATAAACCTACTAAAACCTGTACATCTAAAAAAACTAATCAAGAGAGAGAACCCTGACTAAAATGTTCAATCCCCATCCTGAAAAGCAAAGAGGATGGACATCAGAAGAAGAAAACACTAACAACCTACAAACCTGCCACAGAGGGCCTCTGAAAGGCCCTGCCCTGAAGACTATCAAAGCAGATGCTGAGACTTATGGCCAACAGTTGGGCAGAATGCATGGAATCTTATGTAAGAAGTGGGATAGTAAGATCTGGAGAAGACAGGAACCCCACAAGGAGAGCAACAGAACCAGAAAATTTGAACACAGGGGTCTTCCCAGAGACTCATACTGCAACCAAGTACCAGGCATGGAGATAACCTAGAACCCCTGCACAGATGTAGCCCATGGCAGTTTAGTGTCCAAGTGGGTTACATAGTAATGGGAAGAGGGACTGCCTCTGACATAATCTAAGCCTGCTCTTTGATCACCTCCCCCTGAGGGGGGGAGCAGCCTTACCAGGCCACAGAAGATGACAATGCAACTACTCCTGATGTGATCTGATAGACTAAGATCAGAAGGAAAGAGAGGAGGACCTTCCTTATCAGTGGACTTGGGGAGGGGCATGCGTGAAGAAGGGGGAGGGAGGGGCTTATGGGGGGATACAAAGTGAATAAAGTGTAATTAATAAAATAAAATAAAATTTAAAAAGAATATATTATACTAATTCAAGTCAGACTATAGTTATAATTTATTGTGTATTATAACAAAATAGAAACAAAAACTTAGTTGCTTAGGAGAAACCTCCCTGGATACAATCTTGAGTGACTAATTAATGTTGTAAAGTCTTTAGAGTCTTGTAAACATCCGCTGCACAAGTGAGAATAGTTTTCCTATGATTTTCTCCATTTTAACCATTATGGTTAAACACTAACCATAATGACTAAAATCATGGAGAATAAGAGAAGACAACCAGTCTTGATGAGACCTGATAAGCTAGGGTCAAATAGGAAGTATAGGGGAGGAAGACTTCACCTATCAGTGACTATAGGAGGGGCATAAGGGGAGAAGAGGGAGGAAGGGTGAGATTGGGAGGAGATGAGGGAGAGAGACACAGATGGGATACAAATTGAATAAATTATAATAAATGATAATAATAAAAAACTGCAAAAATAAATAAAATAAATTAAAAAGACTGCTTAGATCCTCTTCCTCATGGCCTGGCAAGGCTGCATTATCAGGGCCAAGTGATCAGAGAGCAGTTAGCTGAGTTCATAATAGAGGCTGCCCCTGATCCCCTCACTCAGAGATCCACATGGAGTGATGAGCCACATCTGAGCAGGGTCTTCAAGGTCCTCTCTGGAATACTACTCATCAATTAAAAACAAAGAAATCATGAAATGTGAGGCAAATGGTGAAAACTGCAAGAGATCATCCTGAATGAGGTAACCCAGAAACAGAAAGACATGCATGGTATACATTCACTAATAAGTGAATATTAGCCATATAATATAGGACAGCCATCTACAGACCTAAAAAGCTAAACACTAAGAGGACTCTAGGGATGATATTTAAATCTCATTCAGAATGGTAAACAGGATAAACATCAGAAGTGGTAGAAGAGGGGAAGCAGGATGGGAGTCTACTATTGTGGGTCCTCTGAAAGGGTTCACCCAAGGGGGATTGAAGCAGATGCTGAGACTCAGGGCCAAACTCAGGGAGTCATCTGGAGGAAAAGAGGGGAGAGATTAGAGGGACATGGAGGGGAGAAGAGCCCCACAAGGAGACCAACAATACTAAAAGATCTGAGCCCAGGGGGTCCTGCAGGGACTGATGCACCAATGGATAAAAACATTTTTGAGCAGAACAATGAATTCCACTATTGGTGAAGCAAAGAATCTTTAGGGAAATAGAGAAATGTTTATATAAGCATTTAAAGGTTTAATATAAAATGTTGTCTATATAGATCTATGTATACAACTAATTCATATGACATATCAACATACTATTAACATTACATGTTAACTCATCTACTTCATGACTTCATATAAAAGGATTTAAGCTGTTTAACAGACAACTTTTCCTTCTTCAGGGAAGCAACTCCATAAGGTATATAGCCAAGATAATTAACATTGTAGAGCATTTATCCAGACGTTTTTGAACATGTATTTATTTATTTACTTATACATTGAAGGAGGGCATACACATGCCACAGGACCACATGTAGAGGTCAGAGGACAAGTGTGAGAGCCCGTTCTTGCCTTCTACCATTGAATCCTGGGGATTGAATTCTGGCCATTGGGTTTGTAGGCAAGTGCCTTTACCCGCTGAAACATCTTAGTGGCCTTGATTGTTTCTGTTCCTTTTTGAAGAGTCATGCTGATTTTGAATTTCACACACCCAGATCATCTGTTTAGCCACCTTATTCAGCCCTTTTAAAATAAGAATCTGCATTCCTTTTACGGAAATCACAGTTAGATTTGCTAAGGAAAAACAGAGAATTCACATGAGTAGGAAGGATTCCAAAGAAGGACTATGGACAATTATATATTTCTATACAAAACTATATATCATATACTATGATATGTATCCAGCATTTATTTTTTGCTGATCCATAATACACAAACTAAATTTTGTACTACAGATGTAATTATGAGTGCCCATTCTTAGTTCCTTTGTGATATTTCCATTTATCTCATATGCTCAGAATTTTAGGGTACTCAGCAGAGAGACTGAAATGGAAATTTCAGTCAAACCGAAACTGTTTATCTCTTCATTCCATGTTCAATATTAAGATAGTGTAGAGTATGACCTAAGGTATTGCTCTCTGTGCAGTAAGTCTTTGGATGATAGACAATATAACCAACAGTATTAGAAAGATTAATAGCAGTGAAATGAAGCTAATAAAGTATGTCTACATTATGACAGTAGTCATAGTAATTTGTGTCAAAGAGTTTAAATCTCTCTTAGGTCTATAATTTTTTTCAGTTGGCCCTGAACTACTTTTTTCATGTCTGATTGGCTAGATATTAAATCCAAATAAAAAGTGAAGAATTAGACCAAAAATACATAAGGGACATTGAATTGAATAGTTTTTCTTTGTCTAACATTAATATACACCAATAAATAAAGTATCCTTTTATCAAACTGATAGTAATTCTTTTATCATCAACATATTTAAAAAAATTCACGTTTTGTTTACCCACAGTAAGCAGATAAGAAAGAAATTTTGTGGGCTGATATGTCACAACTGCTTGTAACTCCAACTCAAAGGATTTTATAGTCATTGGGCCTTCAAAGTTACACGCAGAACCCACCACACACACACACACACACACACACACACACACAATTATATAATTAATAAATTTGGTGATGGGGCAGGAGAGATGGCTCAGAGGGTAAGAATACTGGCTGTTCTTGCAAAGGTCGGAGTTCAATCCCTAGTAACCACTTAGTGGCTCACAACCATCTATTCTGAGATCTGGTGCCCTGTTCTGGCATGCAGACACACATGAAGGCTGTATAAAAATGGCTAAGATTAAAAACTCAAGGGATGATGCATACTGGAGAGGTTGTGGAGAAAGGGGAACCCTCCTCCATTGTTAGTAGGAATGTAAACTTGTACAACCACTTTGGAAATCAGTCTGGCACTTTCTCAGAAATTAGGAATAGTTCTACCTCAAGTTCCAGCTATACCACTCCTAGGAATATATCCAAAATATGCTCAAGTATACTACAAGCACATTTGCTCAACCATGTTCGTAGAAGCTTTGTTTGTAATAGCTAAAATCTGGAAACAACCCAAATGTCCCTCAACAGAGGAATGGATACAGAAATTGTGGTACATTTAAACAATGGAATCCTACTGAGCAATTACAAACAAGGAGATCATGAAATTTACAGGCAAATGGTGGGAACTGGAAAAGATCACCCTGAGTGAGGTAACCCAGAAGCAGAAAGACACATATAATATATACTCATTTATAAGTGGATATTAGCCATATAATATGGGATAAACATACTAAAATCTATGGTCCTAAAGAAGCTAAACAACAAGGAGGATCCTAGCAGAGAATCTTAATCCTCATTCAAAAAGGCAAACAGGATAGACATCAGAAGTAGGAGAAGACAAGGAACAGGACAGGAGTTTTCCACAGAGGACCTCTGCAAGACTCTTCCCACCAGTATATCGAAGGAGATACTGAGATACACAGTTAAACTTTGGGAAGAGTACAGGAATCCTTATGGAAGAAGAGGGAGATAGAAAGACCTGAAGGCGACAGGAACTCCTCCAGGAAAACAACAAAGCCAAAATACCTGGGCCCAGGGGAGCCTGCAGAGACCAATATGCCAACTAAGGACGATGCATGGACAGGACCTAGACCCCCTGTTAAAAGGAAGCCCATTGGGTGCTCAGTTTCTAAGTGGGTTCCCTAGTAAGGGGTACAGGGGCTATCTCCTACATGAACTCATTGGCTGGCTCTTTGATCACCTCCCCCTGTGGAGTGCAGCCTTGCCAGGCCACAGAGGAAAATGATGCAGCCAGCCTTGATGAGACCTGATAAGCTAGGGTCAGATAAAAGTGGAGAAGGTCCTCCCTTATCAGAGGACTATGGAAAGGGCATAGGAGGAGAAGAGGGAGGGTTGGAGGAACTGGGAGGAGACATGGGAGGGGCTGCAGTGGAGATACAAAGTATAATAAATAAATTGTGATAAATAAGTTGTAATAAATATGCAAATAAAATAAAACTTAAAACAATAAATCTTTCTATTTTTTTTAAAAGAAATCTGGTGATAATTGGAAACTAACAAACTTATTTATTTATTTATTCATTTATTTATTTTACTGTCTCATATAAACAACTATGTTCACGAATTTACTGATAACCTGCAGGACACTAAGGAAAAAAGGCCCTCTAAACACAGCTGTACCATTACACATATGAACTCACAGAGAATGTGACAGCATGCACAGGCCCTGCATAGGTCTATGTCAGATGGGATCCCAGCGCTGAGAGAAGACATGGACAGAAGCCCTCATCACTAACCCAGATGCTATTTCCAATTGATAGCCACTCCAATGGTGTCTTAGGGAGTCTCAAAGGTGCAGGCCCAGCAGTATATGGTCAACACAAAATGAACTCAGTGGCATCTTTGGAGGTTCTTTTTTTCATAAGTCTTTGACAGGACATTTCTTTTATTTCTTCCTCCTCCTCTTCCCCCTCCTCTTCTTTTTCTTCTGTTTTTAGGCGATTTCTATGCATTCAAACACAAACAGGTTCTCTCTACATGGATATCTCATGTTTTTTCTTTGCTTCTTTTTGTTCTGTTTGCTTTGTCCTATTCCAGTTAAGTTTTTAAAATTTTATTTATTTTAATTTATTATTAGTATTATTAAGATGCATGTTTGTTTCCTAAGGAGAGACAGACAGAAAGTATGTGGGTTCCAATGGGAGGGAAGTTGGAAGGAATCTCAGAAGAGCTGTGGAAAGGGTAACCTCGATCAAAATATAGTGTATAAAAAATTTGTTTTCAATAAAAGAAAGAAAAAAAACAATATTGCTCAAGCTTTTCATTCACTATATCACTTAGAATTGAACAAAATAAAATTTAAAATAACCCAATGTTGATTTTTTCCTTGCAACCAACCCCTCCCCTACTGAAAAATATACACATCTGATGCATAGACAATTCAGTGCCTTGATTCATGTGATGATATTAACAATTTTTTCATTCTTTAAAATTTCATATCAATATGCCTGTGAACTTACAAAAACAATATTGCTTATAATTGTACTTGATATTTGCTTCAGGTAATAATTCATAATGATGGCCCTGAGAAATTGGACCCTAAATATTTTGGAGAGTTACTTGCTGACCTAAGCCGCAAGAATACAGACCTATATCACTGCCTATTAGAGCATTTGGAGAGAATTGGAGGAAGGTACTACAAATGTATTTTTTTGTCTTTATGTTGCAGTTGTCAAATATTTTAATACAATTTTATAATTTAAAAATAGGCATTTAAAGATTTATATTTTGTTTGCTTTTTTGTTTTTTAATTTATTTTTTTATTTATTACAGTTTATTCACTTTGTATCCCAGTTGTAGCTCCCTTCCTCATCCCCTCCCAATCCTGCCCTCCCTCCCTCTTCTCCCATGCTCCTCTCTAAGTCCATTTATAGGGAAGGTTCTCCTCTCCTTCCATCCGATCCTAGCCAATCAAGTATCATCAGGACTGGCTGCATTGTCTTTCTCTATGGCCTGGTAAGGCTGCTCTGCCCTCAGGGGGAGGTGATCAAAGAGCAGGCCAATCAGTTCATGTCAGAGACAGTCCCTGTTCCCATTACTATGGAACCCACTTGGATACTGAACTGTCATAGGCTACCTCTGTGCAGGGGTTTTAAGTTTTCTCCATGAATATTCCTTTTTTGGAGCAGTGTGCTTCCATGAGTTTATGTACACTACATGTTTTTTTATGCCCACATAGTCCAGAGCGAGTTGGACATCCTGGAACTTGTGTTACGCACAGTTGTGGCTTGCTCAGCATCATTTTGGGAATGAAACATGCGTCACTATCAAAGAGCAGTATGTGGTCCTCATCAATGAGTCATTCCTCTAGCCCTTAAAATAGCCTTTTTAAAAGAGCATGCTTATGTTCATAGCAGAACACCAGTACTCTTAATGATGAAATATAATGATTATATGAGAAATCTGGCAAATGTTTAATTTCAAAAGTTAATCATGATGATTGTGGTAGCTTCACACCTGTGATCCCCGCCTCCAAGAGGCTAAGGCTAGAGGACCTCCTTAATTTTGAGGCCATCCTGGGCTACATATCTTATCTCGCCACGCCAGCTGGGGCTAAATAACAAGACTGTATCTCAAAAAGCTCAAAACTGAATAAATGAAGAAGAGTTAATGTGCATTAGAAAAATCATCAAAGATCTCATTACTTTAAGATCAGTTAATAATTATGAATATGTTCTTTTATAATGTATTTTGATAGCAAAAACTACTACTTGGGAGAGAAACTAAATAAAATGAATGGCATGTTAAAAGACAAAATATAACAAATACTGGTGCAGATGTAAGGAAGAAGAAAATTGAATATTATGGTAAATTACACTAGTCATTATACAAAAACTATAACCACCATGTGATCCAAATATCCAACTATTGGGTATATAGTCAAATAAAATCAAATTAATATGTGAAAGCCCCACCTTCGCTGCCATGTTCATGATAGTAAGGAATAGAAACAACCTGACAATCTACTAGCATAAATAGAATTAAATTTTGTCATTTTCAACAACATAACTAGACTCTATTCTGTAGAATAACACAGGCACATAAAGCAACTATCACATGACTAACTTTGAAGTCTTAAAAACAAATAATTTCATAGATAGTGAGAGGATGGTCATTGTCAAAAGTTCAATAAAGTAGAGGGTTCAAGGTGGAAGTGCCATTCAATGTATACTGAACTCTGGCTGGATAAGAACAAGTTCTAGTGTGCTATCACAGAGTGCCTACTACAGAAGGCCTCTGAAAGACTGTACTAATCTGGATATCGGAGCAGAAGCTGAGACTCATATCCAAATTTTGGGCAGAGTGCAGGGAATCTTATGAAAGAAGTTGGAGATGGTAAGACCTTAAGGGTACAGGAGCTCCACAAGGAGACCAACAGAGCTAAAAAAAAAAAAAAAAAAAAAAAAAAAAAAAAAAAAAACCTGGGCCCAGGGGGTCCTGTAGAGACTGATACCCCAACCAAGGACCATGAATGGATAGGGCCTAAAAACCCTGCTCAGATGTAGCCCATAGACTGAGTCTCCAAGTGGGTTCCTTAGGAAGGAGAGTAGAGGTTGTCTCTGGCATGAACTCAGTAACCAGCTTGACTCTCTTATCACCTCTCCCTGAGGGGAGCAGCCTTCCCAGGCCACAGAGGAAAACAATGCAGCCAGCCCTCATGAGAGGAATAGGCTAGGGTGAGATAGAAGTCTCTGAGTACCTCCCCTATCAGTGGTCTAGGGGAGGGGTATAGGGGAAAATGAAGGAGGGAGGGTGGGGTTGGGAGTAGATGAAGGAGGGGGCCACAGCTGGAATACAGAGTAAATAAATTGTAATAAATAATAAAGTGAATTGACTCCTTTGTAAAAAAAAGTTTTTATTCTGATAAAATGGAATGAAAACAAAATAAAGAGAAACTAAGTCAAAACTGAAAGTGAGAACTAAAGTTGTCTTTTTTATTGTTATTCTTACAGCAAACAAGATTTTGAGTCTCCAGATACAGTAAGTCTAAAAATCATTAAAATTAAATAGATTAGACTGGAAACACAGGATAGAAAAATAAAAAATGTTTATATCTTTGTAATGACTATAAAAATAATAATCACAAAGACTATTTTTATGACTGTCAGTAGGATTTAAGATATTGTTTAAAATGCATTTAAAATTTACCTGATTACAATACTGTTTTAGAAGATAGAAATCTCTATGATAGAAATAAATGTTTTCTAATATTCTTTAAAACCTAGTGTGTGATAGCAATTTGAAGTAAGAAAATCTTAAATATCAATTCCATTACATTTGCAATTTTATAAAACTATTTATTTTAATTAAATAAGTAATCACATAGTTTAATAACCTCTAACACATTAATTTTATCATGACATCTAGCATACTGCTATTCTATTTTCATTAAAGCAATTCTGTAAGTCCTAAATTGCCTAGGAAAAGCACCTATTTTAGTTTGTTGCTGTGGTAACATTATAATCTCTCAAAATTCACCGTAGCCTCAAGTAAATTTTCATTAAATTCTGTAATGCTTATAATTTTATTTCACTGTTTTCACAATTTAAAAAGTAAGCTTCTCAAGCACATCTACTATCCAATAAAATTAGTTTTGAAAGATATAGTGATGATATTTTCAGTGGAATATGAATTTTGTGTTATCGCTATTATCTCCCTCCTCATTATTTTCTTCTTTTATGAGTCATGCTATGGTTACATATCACAGCTTGGTCATGAATTTATGTAGCACATGCTAGTGTTGATCCTCTTGCTTTAGATGCTTGGATACTGATAGTACAGGCATGTACCGCTGCACCCAGAGAAGTAACCACTTTGGTTTTAAATGGCTATTCCTCCCAGACCCTTGGTTCTGGAGTTCAAAGCCATGCACTTCTAATGATAACACAAGTACTGTACCTTTGAGCCCTAGCCCTAAACTGAAAATTTAAAAACCTAAATAGAATGTTTGACTCTTTGCCCAAATCTTTTCTCTAACAATCTTTAGAATTCAGTATTATTCACTTGTCTATGTGCTATAAGTAAGTATTTAAAACTGAGAAATGGTAAAACTGCAAATGGTATTGTAGAAACTATTCTTTAAAGGTGACTTAGTCTTCCACTAACCTTCCAAAATATGCTCTTTTTACACAAAAGTCTAGGAAGTACTGCCTATAATATTAAAAATGTTAATGTTCTCAGTGAATAAATTCCATTTTCTTACAGTTGGAAGACATTGAGTCATTGATTCCTAAAGGACTATCAGAGTTTACAAAACAACAAATTCGTTATATTCTGCAGGTAATATGGGTTCAGTGTCCAGTTTTAACATGATAGTTATTGTTTTATCTCATTATATTTTATTTTGTGATTTTTGGTTGTTACCTCTTAGAAGCATGTTCTTTTCTAATGAGAGACAGAAAGGGAGTGGATCCAGAGGGGAGGAAGATGGGATGGAACTAGGAGGAATACAGGAAGGGGAAACTATAAACAGGTTGTGTTGTATGAGTATTAATTGCATGTTATATTCAATTAAAAAATTAAAAGTAGTAATACCACATTTCAGATCAAGTTATATTAATTAATTTAAAATTTATCCTAATAAATTTAATATGTGTTTTTAAAAGTAATCAGTACTAAGAAAGTACTACCTAACACGATCTTTATAAGAATAGGTAGTCTCAAATAAAAGCTATATGCTGCAGGAGTTAACAATATTATAATTAGATAAGATCACATTTTAGCTTAGTCAAACCACCAAGACTCAAATGTCTAGCATTCAGGAAACCATTCTAGAAATATTATTGCCTGCTGTGAATTGTTCTTGTTCATTCTTCCATGATTTAGTACAATCTGATTACAAATCTTTTCCTTCTCTTTCTCATGCTCATTTCATACTCTACTTCTCCTGTTCCAAGTACAGACAGTGAAAGATAGAAAGGCATCGCCTTACCTTCCAGTTTTGTATAAGGATAGAATCTATAGGAACCAGAAATTCTCCTGCAATAAAATAAAATCCACAAACCAAGATAGATGCCTAGGAAATATGAATGCAAGTAATATACATTAAAAAAATTGAACAAAAATAAATGATAAACAGGATACAAGAAGAAAAAGGAACCCTTATATATGGTTTATGGGAAAGCAAAGTCATGCAGATACTATAGAAATCACTATGGATGTTCCTCAAAAAACTAAAAGTAAAACTACTGTCTTAATTAAAGTTTCTATTACTGTGATAAAGGTTTATTTCACTTCACACTTCCAGATAACAGTCCATCAGCATGGGAAGTCAGGGTAGGAACTCAAGTAGAAGCCATGGAGGAATGCTGCTATTGGAGTACTCCCATAGCCTACTTAATCTGCTTTCTTATACAGCTCAGGATCACCATCCCAAGGATGCAACTGTCCACAGAGATATGGGCCCTCCCACATCAATCATTAAGCAGGACAATATCCCACAGACATTCCTTGTTCTTTGTTCTGCTTATTTAGGAAATAAATGGCATTTTAGAATTCTACTTTGATTTGTTATTATTGTTTGGGGGTTCATTTGTTTTAGTGGTTTCTTTAGCTATCAAATTTTATACCCATTAGTTGATCGTGTGTGTGGACTTGCGTGCATTTTAAAAGTTTCAGAGCTGTAGAAAGCTTTGAGGTTTTTATGTCTCTTTCCATGTATATTATTCTGAAACATTTTCTTCTCCAATCATAAATAACATATTAGTATCATGAATTCTGTTTAAGCTATCAAACATAAATAAGGAAGTTCAACACAATTACAAGCTGTCATATTTACCCATATGATTTTTTCCTTTTATTGTCCAATTGATTTGGAATTTTATTCTATTTTGAGAAATTACTTTAGCTAGTCTAAGGGTAGGTCTAATAGTGATTTGTTGTTTCCATTTTCCTAAGCTTGAAAAAATAAAATGATTTGTTTTCTTCATTTGAGAAGGAACTCAATTCATTTCATATAAAATTTATAGTTGGCTATAAGTCTCAGCCTCGGCTTCGATACATTGATCAGTAGAGTCTTTCAGAGGCCCTCTGTGGTAAGCTCATGTCCTGTTCCCTGTTTTCTCCTACTTCATGAACTCTGTGGCTGGCTCTCTGATCACCTTCCCCTGGGGGCATGCAGCTTTGCCAGGCCACAGAAGAAAACAATGCAGCCAGTCCTGACAAGACCTGATAGGCTAGGGTCAGAGGGAAGTAGAGGAGGTCCTCCCCTATCAGTGGACTAGGGGAGGGGCATAGGGGGAGAAGAAGGAAGGACAGGGGCTGGATTGGGAAGGGCTGAGGGAGGGCGATATAGTTAGGATACAAAGTGAATAAATTGTAAGAAATAATAATAATTAAAAAAATTTTAGTTGACATTTCTTTTCTTTGAACATTTGAAAAATATTGTGTCAGTTTTTCTTATCTCCATGATTTCTAAAAGAAATCTATTGTTTTAGCTGGTTTTCCTAGTAACTAAGGTTTCTCTTGAAACTTTCAAATTTTTTTTGTCTTTTAATAAGTTTGTTTTTATTTTTCAAAGAATAGATTTCTTCGAATATATTCTGTTTGGAATATATATTCTTCTCTCGTTTTTTTCTGTGGATTTCTTTCACTTTCTACCTGACTATTAGATATGCATAAAGGATTCTTGTATCAACTTCATTTTTGTAATTATCTTTTACTCTTTGCTTATATTATGAACTTTCCTTTGTATGTTTACAGTTACTTTTTCTGTCTTTCTCTTCTTTTTTTTTTTTTTTTATAATCCATTCCCTAAGGATCCTCTTATTGCTGCTTTCTTGCTTTTTGAGATTGTTGCAAATTTTTTATTTGGTTATTCTTTTTATTACCTATTTCTTAGCTAAGACTCAGTTACTTATTGGAGAGTAATCTCTTTTTAAGTCCATTCTTATTTTCCTTATTAGGTTTTAATTTTCCAATTTTTGATTAATGAAAAAAGTGTCATGATGAAATTTTCACATGTACCTGCCATTGTACTTTGCACATATTCATCTATCTATTACTTTTGTCCTTGATCTGTCCTTGATCCTCTCTCTGGTGAACCTTCCTACATTCCCAAAAATAATTTCTACTTTTATACACTATACACACACACACACACACACACACACACACCCTCTCTACATATTAAAGAACATATGTGCTAATTGTGTTTCTTATTATCCCGTTTTGTTTTTCCTATTAGTTTCGTTCTTCCTATTAGTCTCTTTCCTCCCCTCTGCTATATGTATATTTATTCATATACATATACTAAATTCCAGAGGAAAGAGATAAAGTTTATCTAAGTTTGTCTTATTTTGCTTGAAGGATTTGCCATTTTAACCACTGCTCGAAATAGCAGTTTTATTCTTCTTTCTGACTAAATAAAAGTCATTTATACAAAGTAAATTTTTTATCCATTCACTTATTGATTCCTTAACACAGCTGTTGCTAACATGCTACACAACCAATGTGGGAATGCAGGCATCTGTTATATCCATAATAATCTTAGATGGCAATAATTAGCTTTTCTATAATTTGAAATTTATTGGTCCATGATTTTCTAGATTATATGTGGTTTTGTTGTTGATGTTATTTATAGAGCTGATATTTTTTTAATACCATTGCTTCTGTAGGTTAAGTGGAAGCATTCTCTTGCAGCTTTTAATATTGTGAGAACTACAGCTGTGTGTGTTTGCGTGTATGTGTGTCAGGTTTTTCTAGAACTGATAATAAGATATAACTAATAGTCTCATTTTTAGCCAAGCATTCCTGGCTTAATTTTTGGGAAAGTCTGTAACTTCCCCTTTCCCAGTGTCTGTAATTTCTTGCTACAGCATTTTATGGTTGCTTAAAAGCTTTTGTTGGGCAATTCTAACACCTTATAAACTTGACACTTCTTTTTTCGTCTTTCAGTGGTTAGTAACTCTAGATGGAAACCTGAGCATTTTGTTACTTTGTTATAAAACTCTGTGCCTCATTCAGATATTTTGTTTTAGAAAAATACCTCCTGCAGTAAACAATCAGAGAAAGTGGGACAGTTTATATTACTGCCGATTGGAAGTGAATGTTCTCCTAATCAGCCTGTCTACATATGATAGAATGAAAGGCTTTATGGTATCCACAGATAAAACAGAGCTTGGGGTATCACTTTTGTGCTGTTAGGATGAAAGTCTCATCTGTCAACTCTGTATACCCAACATGAACCTAATAAATATCTTTTTACACCCTGATAATGGCAGAAGTCTGGGCTCATTTCTCATCTTCTTATCTATAGATGAGATAAGAGTGACAGTTTCTCCAAAACAACTGGATGTGGTGTTTGGTTTGAGTCCAGTTTTTATTGTCTTAAGTTTTTCTACATTGTTATTATTTTCCTTTCATGGGTATTAGCTGAGAGACAAAGTTTTTCATCATCCTGAGCCTTTCATTATGTTTTGTGTATAACTGTCCATGATTTTGAGTCATACTTAGTAAGAACATCAGAAAAAAAGTAACTCTCTTCCATCTGAAGCTGAAGTTTTCTTTTAAAACATTTTTATTAAACAAAAGTTTATTAGTTTCATTTTTATTCATATACCTCTAGGATCCTGTATCTATTTTGACTCAATGCCTATAGTTCCTACCATGATGTTTGGTAAAAGACCCAAGGATTGTCTAATCCATTTCCTTTTCACATGCATATGGGTGTTCAGGTCAGAATTTTAAGTAATAATATTTACATATAAATGGCAAACAGATTAGTTTTATATTCTGGTTTTTATTATTCATTCATCCAATAAATACCCAGATGGAAAAAAAAAAAGTTTATTAGTATATGGTGAGCATGTTATGTTAGAAACGCTGACAAAAGCATAGAGCTTTCCATGTATTTTCACAATTTCAAAATTTATTGATTAATAATATATTCACATGCTATATCAGTATGTTGGCTGAACAATTATTCATTTTACTGATATTATAGCCATTGGAAATGACAAGTTCTTTAATCAAATGTTAGCAACTAACATGAACTCTCTCATATTATGCATTTCACATTATATGATGACATATAGGATATTGAGTTGCTAAGAAATCACTAGTCTATGAGATTCAAAGAATTCTTTCTAAAGTGCAACGAAATCCACTGGGGGGAGATAGGTAAGATATTAAGGAACTCTGTTCTTAAGGAGTTTTGCAAGACAAAATTCTCTCCAAAGTATATATGGGTCAAGGGATATTCATGTTCTAGGGTAGTCCATCAGAGGCCATTCCAACTAATATCAATTCCAGGGAAGCATAACAGGAAGATAGCATTATTA